TGTGAAAAACCTTCAAACCAGAAACTAAAAACATTTGCTGTCAAAGTAAAAGCAGAGCCTTACTGATGCAACAATTTCTTTCTTTTTTTCCCCTTCTGTCTTTTTTTATTTTTACTTTAAAGGGAACAGTCTCAGTTTCTGGTTAGTGGTGAACTTGCTAGTTTCACCAGCAGTGAGCAGTCTTCAATAGAAACTGGACACAGAAGCCACCTGGAAGTAATCAAAGCAATTTCGAGGTTATCACTAGAACTTTGTATAAACCCCCTTTGTGACAAATTTCCACCTGGCAAACGCCAGAAACCACTCGTGAAATAGACATTTTTCCCCTAGCGACCGGAGGTTGCCGGGGAGATCCTTGATCTGTCTCTTGCCCTGCGCGGGTAATCATCATCTCTGAAGCTTTTGTGCACCCTGTCCAGCTATTAACCACCAGGCAAGTGGCCTAACTTTACTCCCAAACATAACTTTTTTTGAGTAGGGCTGGTGTGAAATTATGTCTAAAAAGTACTTCTGGAAACACCAGGCAAACAGCCATATACAGCTCCATTACAACCGTCCACACCATGGACAGTGATGAGAAGATAAAGCAGAGTAAGATAACCAAGATGAGGGAACGTACTATCAGGACTCAGTCTGTTTATCCCAGGCATATCCTACACAGTATCAACGGGTGAATATATGGCAACGACAATCACTAGTTTGATCATAAGCTGGAGAAGTACCTTATCAGTCCAGCAGCGAGTTGCATTGCCATTGACAAGCACTTATAAAGGTGGGTCCCTAAAAAGGGACCAGCTACTAGAAGAACAAGAAAAACGAAAGGAGCAAGACCTGTCAAAAAGCATGCAACATTCATGACAAGGTGAAGCCTCGATGGCTCCAACAGCCATCACTTAACAGGAAGCTGTAATGAAAACTACAGGGGGCGAGGGGGGAGCGACATCCTCAGACACAGGTATGGATTGACGACTGCAAAAAATCACTACAATTAAGATGTCTCCCTCCACTTACATCCTAATCAGTCCATTTTATAAGGAGCTACATTATAAAACTATGTTAAGAGGCCTCAAGTCTTACCAAGTCATCGTATCATTGCTTAACATTATCATTATGCTTACCTCGGCAAGCCGTTAACAGTCCTAAAAATCACTTATCAAGACAAAACGCTAGGTTTCAAGTTCAGTATATTACTGTATGCCTTACATTAGAAATTCTAAATTTATTACAAAAGAGAGAGAGAGAAAAAAAAAGTGCATTTATACCAGTAAGAACCAATTCATTCTTGGTGATGTCTTATAGCTCTGTTTCGCAAATACTCTATTTAAAAAAAAGAAAAGAAAAGAAAAAAAAGAAAGCAGCAAATATGATTCTCAGCTTGCCTACAGTATTTAAACTCCTGTTGCAGTGTTGGTTTTTTCCCCAAACAAAAATGCGCACGAGTTGATTAAACCTGCCTATAATCCGCTCTTCGCACATGTGCGCGCTGCCTCCGTTTTAACTACATGGACACTGATTAGACAATATGCATGAAAAGGGAGGACAAAAGAACCACGCACGTGACGGCTTTAAGTTATGGCAAGCCTCCCCGTTCGGACGACGACCAACGCGATAAATGGAGAAGGAAAAAAACAAAACGATACAAAAACAAAACCCATTTACTCTAATGTGCATCACTTAAGAGGTGATCGTATGCCATGCAATATTTTGGTACTGCGGTGGTAAAACCTTAAGAGGACAGATGTACTGCATCTCTTTGCCTCCGACAAAGGAAGGAAAATAGCTACAAGCCTGAAGATTTTCAGCAACCAAGGGAAGATGAAGGAAGCGTAAACGTGAAACGGAGGGAGAGAGGAAAAGAAGAAAAAGACCCATGTGTATGCACATGAAATGCTTTGATGGTTTTTGCAGTGAAAGGTGCAAAACAAACTGTGTGCACATTGTTACATAGTAAAAGCGCCTGTTTTTATTATTTAGCCTCTGGCACGAGCCTGTTTAAACACCTGTGTGGGGTATTTGGGACTGTGGCACCCTATGCTGTTTCAGATAATTCCTTTTTGTTTTGTTTTTAAAAGTGTACCTATCTGCCACCCCCCCCCTCCCCTCCCAGCCGTCATCTATGTCAGACTAATTTAAAATAAAAAAAAAAAAAGAGGAAAGAAAATATCGAGGAGGGGGGGAGGTCGAACTTGGCCTCCGTTTTGCCCTCACCTACCTAGAATCCCTGCGGTGCTGTTGGCGAAAAGTCACTTTTGAGCATTTTGGATTTAGTGAGGCGTTTTATCCGAGAGGTATGTGTATATCCCCAGTTTACCCTCCCCACACCCACCACCCTCCTCCCACCCTCCCTCAGAGAGACAAACAGGGCAACGGGGGAGGGGAAATGGAGGCTATCCGCAGAGTGGAGGGTCAAGGCCAGTCACGTCCCTCCAGCTCTAGTTTCTCCCCACGTTCTGGGCAGTGCAATGAGTTCCCCTGTTACCCTCCCCTTCATTAACCTGGGGGACAAACAAACACAAGAACAGAGGAGACACTTAAACCACATCGTGTGAAAAGATGCATGCAGAGCAGATAATGAAGCGATTCTGGATCAGAAAAAATGATTTGGGAACAAAATGTATCATTGTTTATCAATGAGCTGGGTGTTTCATCACTTCCAGAAGAGGGCTGAGGGGTATTTCATTTGGGTAACATCATTTGGTGAACATACCTAACAGGTCAGTGTCCTGCGTGGACCAAAGGGGTGGCCGGGTTAGACGCCGTAGCAGGCTGACAGACGCTCCTTCAACAGAGGAGGGAACTGCTCAGAGAACTGCTGCCAGTTCTCCTCTCCGACCTGGTCCTTGAAGCCATGCAAGATCTTGGAAAAACAAATGAGACTTGATAAATTCTCCAGCAAGCGTGCAAATCTGAAGGTCAGTCTTTCGCAGGCTGATAGCAGACTGTCTTATGGCAACATTAATGGTAGATTTTCTCACTGGGTTGCTTGACAATCTCAGTTTGCAGCAACTGAAGCGAGATAACTTGATAAATCATAACGTGTTGCTGACATATTCAAACAGACTGGAAAATGTTAAAAGTCACCATAATATATGGAGGGGTGTCTGTTCACTGCAACATCAGTTTATGGTCTCAGTTGCTGGCTTCATGTGTTATTCAATACACAACACACTTGTTCTGACTGTAAAGACACTAAAGAGATAGCTGTTCAGTTTTTTTTAGCACACTAGCCAAAATAGCTTTGACATTTATATCACAAATAAACCAGCTAGTTAGCACTAGCTCTTTAGCTCCTCCTTACTGTCCAAATAAAGTCATGGACAGCATAACAACCACATGACGACAATCAAAATTAAAGGCAAAGTTTCATAATGGAAACCCACAAATTAATGTGTAACCTTAAAGTGGCATCATCCATTTTCAATATACAGTTTTTGTACATCTAGCTATGACCTTGCAACTGCAGCTGCACCTTGGGTCGAGCACCTAAAACTAATTTAAAGACCCCTCCACGATCTGGATTGCTCAAATTAGAGGCCTAATGTTTTAAGCTTTACCAAGAGGGGTTTCTAAGCCTACCATGGGTATTAAATGCACCCAGAATTGATTAGTATTGATTATTATTATATTATAGTACTCATTATTGACTGATCAGCTTGACTTGGTGATGTACCACACTTCTCAGACTTCAAAGCCATCTGCACCATGCCGTCAGATTTCCGATGTCTGATTAATGATCATCATAGGTCGGTGACCCAAAACTACACAAGAGTGAACGTTTTAATCACAAACGCTGGTCCATCCTGCAGACTGTCACAGAAATATGATTTCTGATGAAGTATTTACCTTATAAAACATGTCCCTCAGGTCGTCCTTCGGGTTCACCCATGAGGCCACAGCATCACAGAAGAAAATAAAGTCCTGAACACAGAAGACTTGTTAACTCAGCACTTGCCAAAGTAGACCTCCCCTACTTCTCTAACCCCTTTAAAGCAATATCACCTTACCTGCACCACTCCTGCAGGGTTCACGCCGATCATCACACAGATTCCCCGGAAAGCCGAGTCCTTCTCCTCATTATCTCTTATATTCCTCAACGACGTGCACCTGTGAACAGGAGCAATGTGGCGACAGAAGAATGAGTTCAACTTGAGTTTTTTTTTGTTTGTTTGTTTTACAGCAGCTCCAATTTTTCAACTATTTTCAACTATTTTTAGTCTTTCACCTTTTTAAACTAACAAGAGTTTTTACTCATGCTGTGAAAGTAAAACGTGAAAAAAAAAAATCAATCATATATGGTAATATCCATACTGGGACTCACCATGGCCTAATGAAATGCTGCAGCTGTGGCGCCACTTCCTGAGGACACACGAAACCCAGCCTGCCGATCGTAATGGCTGCATAGAGAGACATAAAAGAAGCCGCTAAGTCTTCAATATCAGAATCAAATTTAAGAGACACACTTATCATCATTCTGTAGCTGATTGTTTACCTGTGTTTTCCAACAAAGTCTTGGGAGTGTTGGGTCTATTGATGATCTCCACCAGGTGTGGCAGCACCATACCCACATACGGCTGCATTTCTGCACCTGGAGAGCCACAAAGAAGAGAAGGAGGCAGTGAGCATCCTGCAGTGTGGATACAACATGGTAACGTCTCTAAGTGTGTTAAAGATAGGAATTCATTGTCAATCAGGCACGAGACAGAATCGGACCTGCTTCAATTGAATAAAAAGGAACACGTGAAAAACCTAAATGCTGAAATATTAAAAATACCCAACACTGATTTAACTTTCTTCAGGGCTTCATTGGTCATAAGTTACTGAGAAGAGCTTTCAGGTCCTTAAAAAAAAAAAAGAAGAAGAAAACTGAACACTTACCAGCCACAGCAATAAAACCATTTGCAGTTACCAAGCCCTTAAAACCTAAACAAGTCTTGGTGTTGTCTCTTACTTAAATTCAATAGAAAAACTAGTTTCTTAATAAACTATTAAATAAGTTTTGTGAATAGTAAAAATCCATTTTAAGAATCAGGTTCTGAACACGTCTTTGATTCAAGTTTGTCTCAGCCAAAATATGTCGCCCACATTGAAGCAGAGTTTACAATTCCTGAACGTACGCGTTCATATTTTCCCTCATATCTGCAGGAAAATACGAGCTCAGACTGCACATGCCTGCATGCAACATGCACTGTGAATGATCTGGATCAGAAAACATTATGGGAACAAAATGTATCACTTTGTGTCAATGAGCTGGGTGTTTCATCATATCCAGATACTGGGGGGTGGGGGGGACGACAGGAAAACCATCCACAATAAGATCTGTTACTTACCCATTTGCATGGAGATCTCCCCTATGGCCCAGGTGGCGTTGTTACACACGGAGATAAACTCTGGGTTCAGGTTGAGCCCAAGGATGGGCATGAACTCAGCTGGAGAAGAGAAATGGACACCAGTTACAACAATGATTCACAAACACACAGCTGGATATTCATTTCAGCCTCCTATCTTTTACAGCTCATCATTAAAGACATGAGCTCATGAGTGGCTACAACAATCACTAAATCTGGGTGTTCCCTGGTAATAAAATGAGAGGGCAGCTAGTAAATCAGTCAAAATGTGACAAAGTTGCTCTGATAACGCACGCTCACCAATACAGGGCTTCACGTGGAGGAAGCATGCCTTTGTTAGATCGCCCAGGAGAGCAAAGGAGCTCTGCCTCACTTCGGGCATGGTATCCTGCAACAGAACCACATAACTTGGTGTTACACAGAAAACTCAGGAAAAAAACTTGTTTTTGCATGCAGAAAAATTAAGAGAACTTCCATCACACCTGCATGCACTGGAAAAGCAGCGTCATGATGTTAGAGCGAGCCACAAGCTGTTCCACGTGTCCTCCCAGACCTTCAGCCAGGCCGCTCAGCAGATCCAAGGCCACAATCATGAAATCCTTGTCAGGAGCTTCATACTGGTCTGGATGCTGGTTGTACATCTATGTAGACAGAAACACAAATGTGAATTTTTAAGCACCAGTTTAAGATTTAAACAGACTCCACCACATTTATTCTATTCATGCTTGCTCTCTCACCATAGCCTGAGCTAGTGTCTTCTGGACTAATGTGACACAGCGCTGATAGACGGGCTCGCAGTAGGGCAGAAACCCACTTTGCAGGGCGGTGGCTACTGACGAGAGACACTGAAAGACATTCGGACAGCACAGTTTTGTTTGGATTTTCTTCTCCTTCCTCTAAATGACGTAAAGCATTTTTTCTTTGACATACTTGGACATGTCAAACAGAAAACAGGAAAACCCTGATTCTAAGCAGCGCTAAATTTACTCACCTCCAGCAGAGGGAAAAGATCCTTGTCTTCGTCCTTCAGCTCGTTCCACTTTGCAATAAGAGGGGGCATCAGCTTCTGAATGTACTCCTGAAAAAGCAACACAGTGGTAACAGCTCAGGATTTCTGCAACAAATCAATGATTCCCTGTTATTAGTCTCCTCCCAAAGCTAAGCGTGCAACCCGATCGACTTGAGTAAATTCAAGACAAATATACAAGATCCAAATCTCAAACTTACAGGCTGATTGAGATGGTGACCCACTGAATCTGCCAGAGTTCCTATGGCATCATACAGGATGAGCAGATTCTTGTGCTGGTACTTCCCGAAAGCAAAGACCAGAGTGTCCAGAATGTAACTCAGATATGGCACCAGCTCTGTGCATGCCTCTTCCTCCAAGGTTGCAAATGCACTGAGAAAAAACAAGATGATGAAGGTCAATGCTGAATCTACACACACAGTCTTGTGGTCCAGGAATACCACAAGCAGGATGTGGATCAGAGTACAATATGGGAACAAAGTGTATCATTGTAAGTCAATGAGCTGGGATTTTCATCACGTCCACGTTAGAAGGGAACAAAGATTGCAGCGTGGCTCACCTGCAGGCGGCCTCCTGCACCTTCTTGTTGCTGTCCAGGATGCGTTTCAGGAGCTCCGTCATGAGCGGTTTGAGATATGAGTCGGGGGGCTGGGAAACCACCCAGTGTGCATAGCGACTCAAGGTCCAGCAGGCAATGGAGCGGACCAGGGCCTTTTTGTCACACAGACACTGGATGAGGTGAGGGATGAGTTCCGGCAGGTAGGGCACCATGCCCTGCATGCAGCCTAAGCACAGAGTGAAAGCACGAGTGAGAACGACACCAGACCTTCTGCAGTCAGCAGAGCAAATCTACTGATCCTAATATTCATTCGCCGGCATAATGCAGCTCTTCCCTGTGAAATTCTGTCTCACACCAATGTGTACTTGCGATGTGCATCAATTTAGGCGTTATATCACAAGAAGACTGCACAGCTGATTTGCTTCAGAGGGGACGATACAAATTTAGGTTTCTCTGCTTTATGCCTCTTAACCAACACTCAGACTCAGTTCTGTTTTAGTACAAATCTACTACGTCACTTGTTGTAAACAGAAACCTCAATCGCAAGCTTAACTGATGCTTGTCAAGTGAACAATCCATCGCGCCCACTGCACTCCACACTACTGAGGAGCAGAGCCTAACTCATACTTATTCAACCTTGCTGCAATAAAGAACGCTTCAGGAGCTCATTCCTACAAACTCTCTGTGAAACTGAACAACACCTCTTCTTTCTGTGACAGGTTCATTCTGACTCTCTTGCCAATCTGGGCAGTCATTAATCCATTTGCAAATCACTGTTTATTCATGCAAATTTTAAAAAAATTAAGCTGAACAGTTTGTAAGATTGCATTTGCATTCCCTCTTTTGCTCATGAAACAGACCGTTTACCTGCATGCAAAGCCTGACAATATGTGATTGGTTATTATAACTCAGACATTCCAACACAGACATCACTTTATACAGATTACATTTGACAACTGTGGTTCTGCATAAGGTTGGCGACCTAATTAGGCACCGTTGAGGGAATTCTAGGTATCAGTTGAAATGGGAAAGTACCAAATCCCAGTTCTGCATCCAAAAGATTTGAGAAGTCCCCTCTCTATGTTTCTGCCTCTTTCCCAATTGAGAAATATGAAGACTGCTTTAGCAATTTCAGAAAGAACAGTTTGACACAAATTACTTTTCCAATCAGGATTCACCACATCCGCAGATAATGCCAGTAATTTTGAATAAAGCATAGACGGCACTGTGGGGGTCATTTCTTAATCAAATCAGGTGTCCTGGTGATACCAACCCTGTGCTAATGAGGCATGACATTAGAAATCTATAATGTGTCCTTCAGAACACCAAGTGAATGTCTGCATGAACATGCAGACGGGCTTTTTGCAGACTGCATATAATAAGGTTAAACCTCATTACTAGATCTCAACTAGGGACAGATAACTGTCTATGCATAACTGGGAACATTTCAGGAAGGTGTAGCTCGGGTTTTTGCAGCTCTGACTACTAACCAGAAAATCTGTAGATTGCATGAAAAATGAGTGTCCTTTCATCTTACCCTCAGCTATGGCCCCCAACACCAGGATACCAGACTCCTTGATCACCCAGTCAAGGTGAAAGAGCAGGCCTTTGAGGAGTGGCAGGAGGTGGGGTAGCAACTCATCGCGGAACACGTTGGCCAGCACGTCCAGTGCTGCTGCAGAACATTTCCCTACGTGAGAAAGAAAAGTTTGGTTACAACCCGACACCTAACCTGCCGTTTCTCTTATATCACCTGAAACTACAGCAGCTTTAAGTTAAAAAACTCACTGCATGTACTTCCTGAATGACATCCACATGTCCACTCACAGCTTAAAAGGTAATAGATCTGTGCTACATTTGGGAAGGGGCCAGTTGGCATATTAATACCTGATATACGACATACATGGAAACCAAAGTACAACCGGTCAAGTCACCACACTCACATTCTGGCAAATAATGTGTTTCTCCACCACTTACGCAGATTCCAGTCAGACAGCGTGTCGTCATCGTCGTCGTCGTCTTCCTCTATGTCCTCCCCCTCCTCCCCCTCGCCTCCTTCATGCTGCAAAGTGACCGTGCGCGACTTGTGGAAACGGGGTTTGATGTCCTGCTCGCTGTCTGGTACCGCCTCGTCCTCCTCCACGTCACCCTGGGGGAACGGTCAAAAAGCAGATTGATGGCAAAGAAGTACAGCTGGGTATCCCAAGCATTCAAATACCTACGATGGCACTCACCTTCAGTAGTATGATGTCTATCTCAGAATACTTCATCCCATTTACTAAGATAGGGATCAGTCTATATTAAACAAGTGAGACAAAAGAAGATATCCTTGATCAAAAAAACCCCAAAAAAACACAGAGATGGAAATTCACACTAATAATAGACACATACTAACAATATTTAACAAGCTACTCACTGCACTAGGTGTCCGGAGAGCACCTCTTTACAGATGGGTTGCTCTGCTAGAGTCAGCCAAAACTCGCAGGCCTCCAGAGCCACGTTCTCGTCAGGGTCCTGGGTTCGCTGCAGCATGTACTGAAAAGCAGATGTTTGAGAATGGGAATGTGTGATCAGGTGAGTGGGAAGGGAGGAAAAAAAACAAAACAAAAACCATCCTAAGAAGAAACTTGAGAGAAATCTGGATCAGAAACATTAGGAACTTGAGGTATCATCGTGCTTCAATGAGCTGGGTTTCTCATCACATCCAGATGGGCTTCAAGTTCCACGTATTTACACGAAAATGTGGCGTACGTGTTCTTTTACTTCCACTGTGTGCTCCACAGCTGGTTATCTGGTTGTCCTAACACTCACCTGGATGATGCTGTGCATGTGGGGGATCAGGCGGTCGATGCGGACCTCCAGTAGCATGACCAGGGCTCGGCACACATTCTTCCTGACCTCAGAGTCCTCATCTGCTGCCAGCGCAAACAGGCTCTAACAAAGGAGAAGAGGAGCAAAAAGAAAGGAGTGTGAAGTAGGCACAAAACTAACACAGCAGCCTGATACCGAAGCACACACAAGCTCACCTCTATGAAAGTGTCAATGTTGTCCATCAGGGCTTGGGCTCGGCCGATGATGAACTGGTTCACGCAGGCTATGGCATGGGATCTGCAGAGCAACAAAAGCAATGATCAGACATTGTAGTGATGAAGAAACTGGTTCAAATGAAAATGCCTCAGATAAAAACCTTGTATAACTAACATGTGCCTTTCATTTAATCAGAAAACACC